TTGTTAACTCTGCTAGATTCTAACATCAGGAAATTCATTGTTAAATGAATACCCGTTTATTGAGTCTACGTCAGTGAATATATAGAATATATTTCAGACACTTATATATAAAACTTACCATCATGGACCACAGGTCTATTAGCCTATAGAATATAAGAGTTTGAAGTAACTTAAGGATACTTTTTCATTGAGAGCTGAAAAAAATGAGTCCCAAGAGATTCATTGACCTCAATATTACACAGCTAATAAATGGCTGGTCTTGGGCTCAAGTTCAAGTTCTCTGACATCATGTCCAGGACTGTTTCCACTCATGGTTGTGTGTTCATTGTTATGTTTTGGAGCATCTCCTTTGTTGCAGAGCTAAGTGCCTTAAATAAGCTCATGTTTAAATGTCACAGCATCCCTTTGAGGTGCATATTATTACATTCCTTTTTCAAAACAGGAAACTGAATCTCAGATTCAGTAGATTCTCACCCAGATAAGAAATAACAGGCTCCAAAGGCTGCCTTCTTTCCATTACCCCATGCCACTGCCTTTTACTGACATTTCCCTTTGCAATATCGCTTCAGTACTGATCATCAAGGCCCCGTACAGCAATCTCAAAAATGCTAATGCAGTTTGTAAAGAGAAATGATACCCTGCATTAGAAAATGAGATGCCTTCTTTTTTGTGAATTGTCCAAAGAAAGGTTCACAAGAAAAATCTTGACAAGATAATTACAACCTGCTCATTTTCCCCTTTATTTCATTTACAATTCCCTAGCACATCGAAGTGATGTTTAAGGAATGCAGCTAGACAATATTGAAGTTCATTCAAGTGGAAGGCTGGCATTCTATACAGAAAGAGGTGACCCAGTAATACAGTGTCATTTGGGTGTTTTTTCAAATCATTGGCATTTTACTAGCGATTTGTAGTTTAATGGGAGAATAATAATGTTCACTTTCATATCAAAATCAGAAAATGTCAGTAGATGATGTAATTATTTCTTTGAAAAATAAGGGAACGTTTTAAAAAGGGATATGTCACGCATGCACAAATGAAATTGTGTAGCCACATCGTTTTCTAGCTATAAACTCCAGTTGGTTTGGTTTTAGACATTTGTGGAGTATATAAAGTGAGACAAACATGTGCTGAGTTAGTTATCTTAGGGGAATAAACTGGCAGTGTCAGACAAATTAAAACCTGAATTTTTCTTCTTCAACAGGCAGACCAATGCCAGGCAGATTTCTCAGTTCTTCAATGTCCTTACCTGAGTAAGAGGGATAATAATTTCATTTCCTCATTCTTACATACATGTGCCATGTGTGAAATAAGCACAGGGTGGGCATAACTGGAGAGCACTTATTATTCAGTATTTGGTGAAGGAAAGAACACGGTGGCTTTGTTAGTCATGTTTTTTGGGATTCTAAAGTAGAAGCTAATCAATAACAGAAAAGATGGTAGTTTATTAGGATTATTTGCTTTTGTTTTTGGGAGAAATTGTTTTTAAATGTGCTAATGGGGAAACAGTTTTTTCCTAGACTCAGGAGGCTTTGGGTTAAATGTATGCCCCTGTGGCTTGCAAGTATCATTCCCTTGTGAGACCGTTGGTTCTGTTCCCAGAAATGCTAGTGCCTTACATACTCTTTCATTTTGGTATTAATTCCAGCTATTGCATTTTTGAGTTTACCAAGAGTCTATTTATCTGTACGTCCACAGTGACTTGAAATTTGCATTTTAAATATATCGTAGTTACCAGGATCTGGAATTTGACACAGTATTTTAAAGATATATGTCGTACAACAAAACTATAAAAATCAAGATAGCATGGTAGGAATTCTAGCCTGAATTTTCTATTCAATGTGTTTGTGCGTGTACACACAAACACACACACACACACACACACACAAGGAGAGGGGTGGAGGGTAAATTTAAAGACTACTTCAGAAAAGTTTGAGAAAATGAACAAATCATGTTTATTTCATAATATGAGGTTTATATCCCTACTTTCCTACTTGAGAAATGTATTTAAATACATTTAAGATGTTAGGTAAAAATGAAAAAAATGACTGTCATGTGTGATTGCTTCTGAGTAGCCTTATCATTTGATTCTCCTCTGTTTGTTTGGCTACTTAAGATTAACATGATTTACGCTACAATCTCTTGGTCCATCTTAGAATTTGGGTTTTTCATTTTTTTTTTTTTTATGGTTACTGCAAGATTTTTTTTTTATTTTGGCATTTGAAAGTTACCTTTACTCAATAAACTAAAAAATAACAAATATTGACTCTAGAAAATAAAATAATACATTATAGTGCTAAAGTAATCGAATCACCTGTGTTAGAGCTGTGGTTTCATTGACACTCTTCAACTTGCCTATTAGAAGTGTCTCTGGGAGCCCTCTTATCGCTCTTGCTATCTCCATTGTTTGCTGAATGTGGTAGAGCTGTTTCTGAATCACTTTTTCTTATTCCTCAAACTGATTAATGTGTTTTGCTATATCCAGCACTCAGGTGTTTGCTACTCCCCCGAATACCCACACTGCAGGTTCCAATAACAACGGGAGATACAGTAGCTTGTGTCTACCCACCAGATGGTCTGTGCTGAAGTGTTTTCTGCTCAGTTACATCTTGGGTTTTGCTTACCATTTTGGTCCAAAGAAAACGGAAAAAGAGATAATGTAAGATGCGCGCGCG